CCATGGGATGTAGAGGAGAACGTTGTTCATCACCGAAAACTGCCAGCTTGGCAACAAGTAAAATTGGTGGTGGGGGGGGGGGGGGTAAACGTTTATGCAGAGGAGCACCGAGGGACAGATGAATGAAATCACAAAGGTAGACCACGACACAAGTGTGCGCAATGGGGAAATAAAACATATATATTTTGAGATCTAGAATTCACTCGCAAACATCAATAATCGCTTTATGCAAGGCATGTGAGAATAATGCAAGGCATGTGTGTGCAGCAGTGACTTATACATTGAAAATAACGCTTAAGGTTTTCTATAGTGTTGCTGTATTATACTGAATGGGTCGCTGAGCATTCACGCAGAGCGCACATCTTTATCATCCGACAACCCAGCAGCATTACAGAGTTCGGTTTGCTTGAAGAGGTGTCTCTGCAAAGTATTCATCCATAATGCCCATAAGCCAACTCAATAAAATGTTATTTCATATTTATTGGGCTGAAAACATACCCGGCGTCTGCCATATTATTTTAGAATTTGATTACCCACAATCCACAAGGGTGTGGAACTGCAGTCTCTGCGAAGTTGCGCGCGTAGCTCCTGGGCTTAAAGTTGTTTCAGCACTAAGTGAGGGTCTTGTACGCATTGGTGCCAAGAGAATCCCTTAGCAACAGAGCGAGAGAGATGAAGAGAGGGACACACGGGCGCGCACAAAGACACGGATCGACGCAGAGGTGCTGTCGTGGACATCACGAGTTAGAGACAGAAAGAGGAACACTGGCATCGGAGAAGACGACTGACCATTAGGGAGAGTATGCGTGGGGGTTACAGGGGACAGGATTGATCCCCACAAGCGGGGGGTGTTGGCCAACGGGCGAGTGGGAGCCGAGTGAGCGAGCACGCCCGCCACTGCAACCACCGGAGCGACGAGATAGGCGCTCATGTGCCAGGGCCAGATGGATTCGTTGCATCACGAGACCCGAGGGACGGAAATAGCTTGGAGAAGTAATAATTCAGCAGTGGATAGAGCGTAGCTGATTTAAATGACGCTATTGGCTACGACCAAATGCGCGTGATTTCGTCACATTTTGGAATCTAAGTGGGGGGGGGGGGGTTGAGCCTGGTTTGGGATTTTTGGTTGGGTCACCATCGGGGCTTGCCAGGGGTTGTAGAGGCATGTGGGGCTGTGAGTTGGCCAAGAGATAACTTTGCGGGACAAATAGATAGCGACGTGTGGGTGTTCCTCCCACGAGCCACGCCGAATGGGTTGGCCAAAACATCTCACGCACGGCTGCTCTGAATGTCTCGAAATTGAGGCTTTCCTTGGCAACTAATTGGCATTATTTTTGATTTTGATTTAAAGCGTTCGTGACTGCAGGAATTCATATTCTTGGTTCTTTCGGTAAAGTCACGTAGAAGAGAATTTTATTGTTTTATATTTTTATTCTTTTATTGTTTCCCTTCTACGTGACTTTACCGAAACAACCAAGAATATTATTTCTGATGTTTTATTCATTATCTTAAATGCACTGCTGCTCGTGCAGGTAGTGCATTTCAGAATCATAATCGAAATCTTTATTTCGACTGGAGGCATTCGATGAGCTATGAAACTCTTTTTCGACAGATGTCCAGTTCGGCGGGCCAGCAAGTACATCAACTACAAACAATACAAAAAAAATCTACATAAGAGCAAGATAGACAAAATAGGTACGCAAGTCGCTAAAATACATTCTTATAAACATAGTGTAGAAGTATACATTTCAAAAGTACACACAGTACATTCCTGTACATGTAGTCTTGGCATTTTTTTGTATTGAACATATTTAACACGTCATGTACATTTATGAAACGTTGTTTTTGTCGCTTTAATATTTCCACATTTGAATAAGAGGCGACGTGGGTGTCGCAGGAGGGTAAACAGCTTTCTGGACGCGGTTCTGGTGTTGCCTCCCTCGACCCCCCTCCCCGATTCAGTGGCCTAAAATAAAATAAAATGTTTCGCTCCGGATGACCGCTGCAAAGTATTATCTGCATTTTGATTTATTGTGCTGATCTTAAAGGTGCATTGAAAAACTTGATACTCCGACTGATGGTCCTGTTGTTTGTGGAGTGATTCATGCAGCGAGCTATGGCCTGCAGGGTTTGGTGGTACATGGTGTTTGTCGTTTATTGTGAAAATTCGGTCACAGTTCCTATGATCACTGCTACATTGCTTTTATGGCTTTATTTTGGTGATTTCGAAAAGTTTTTTGGTTTGGCCATGTTTGTTTGTTGTAGTACGGAGTTAGACTGATGGCCTTAATCTAAGTTGTCTTGTGGTTGTTGTTGTTTGACTTGCATCCAACTGGGATTTTGCACACAGCGTTGGTGTACGGTGCTTTTTCTTTAATATTTTGCTGTTTTTTCCTGAATTTTCTGTTTGCACAGTCACATAGTCACTTTAAGATGTTTTCTTGTTCGTGTTTTTGTTTTTTGTTTGTTGCGGTTGCACCCGATTCAAGAGCCGAATGGCTCACAGGGCTATACCAAAATAAATGAAATTGAAACTGATTCAGGCTTGTAAACTGGCTGCGACAGTTGTGAATAAAACCGATTATAATGTACATAACAACAACCGCCATTCGTCACGAAGTGGCGGTGACGTCTCCACGGCGCTTGTGCCAGGCTATGTGCACGTTGAGGCCACGTTAAGTGTCGACCGCCCGCTGGCAGGAGGTCACGGGGCAGACCCAGTTGCTACAGGTCGACTGACTGAGATGACTGAAATGACTGTCCCATGCACCACCTGTGCCCCCTACTGTGCCAACTTGCTGTGCTTTAGCCGCCCGGCGCTCCACTCGTTGTTGTGGCCTCGCCACACACACACACACACCTGTTGTTGGGAACAAATCAAATAAAACTACTAACCCATCGTTTGATTCTTCCGATGATGGAAAACTGCCAGCAACTGTGGGAATGAATAAAGCAGCGCAATGACAATGGACCTCTGCATTGGATGCAGTAAAACCTTGGCCGGACTAGGAGGTGAGAGGGGAGCGCTGGTCTGGTGAGCTGAAAGGTCTGGCTGACTGCATAACAATCAACGACAGCCCATTTGATGAACTGTACGTACTGCTAATTAATAAAAATTACTACAATTTATACTGCTATAGTGCCTTTATGTTACGCCAAACATTACAAACACATCTAAAATGCATTAATATCAATCTTATATGCATTTATTCTACGCTGGATATTAAGATACAAAAATAGATCAATGACAGTACCCGTACTCTGCTGTACGTGATTATGTATAGTATTTACCATTGAAACCTGCAGCCCGAATAGAGGTTGTGTGGAATTATGTTATTATTTATCCGACCAAATTTTCGTTAAATTCGAAAATCTGGCTATTCGGGGTTTAACTGTGCTCTGTCTTCACACATTAAAACAAATATAAATATATAATTGAGTCCATCAGCTCATTCACTTTCCAAACCAAAATTATCCAGTCGTAATTATTTGAGCAAGCGAACTGTCGACAGGTTTCGACATTCTGGGTCTCATCACCAGAGTCAGGCTTGTTGAACAAATGCTACTGGGTTGCCAGATGTTATTGGCAGATAGCTTTGAATTTAGGTTGAGATAGTCCAGAAAGCTAGGCAAGCATAACCTGGTGCAGTCCCTACCAGGATTTAACCGTAGCCCCATGGGTCCGGGACGAGGGGTTGATGTTGATGCCACCAGCAGGGCTTGCAATTGTCACGTTAGTTTGATGTTCAACCACTTTCCCAGGCATTAACATTCAGAGCATTTTCTGAGTTGGGGAAACGCATTATCGCTGTGACATTTTCATGCTCGATCCCTGCATCTCTGTTGCCGTGCTGTGTCGCGTTGCCTAACCGAGGGGCTGAAATGCATCATGGAAATCTCATGCCGATCCAAGATAGGAGTGCTTATGATGGCCTCTCTCTCTCCCATCCTTTTTCTCTCTCTCTCCTGGAAAATAATTCTTATCGTGAGCAAGCAGAGCTCGGGATTTTGCAAAGCCTTTCTTTTTTTTTGCAAGAAATACGCGGCACATTAACACCGCCGACAAATGTTGC